GATCAATAGCAGCATTAGAGTGGATGTGTTGGAGAAGTCTGCCACCAAGGACTTGTTTAACTTCCTCAGTGCCCTCACCCCCAGTGATGGGCAAGTCTTTCCCCTCATCTTCAGACTCTGCTTCCTCTACAAAAGACATGTCACTGGGATTAAGGAAGTCCTCGAAATACTCCTTCCACCAGCATGCAATATCCTGAGTTCAAATGATCAGCGCTCCACTCACACTATACACAGTGCAGATATATCACTGCTTTCCCCTCTCGAGTTCCCTGATGGTTTGCCAGAATCTCTTCGAGGCAGTCCAAAAGTCTTTTTCCATGGCCTCTTCAAATTCCTCCCACACTCAGGTTTTTGCTTCACCCACTGTAAAAGCTGCGTTCCACATGGCCTGTCAGTACATATCTACTGCCTCTGAAATCCCACAGGCTAACTAAGCTTGATAGGACTCCTTCTGCCTGATTCTTCCCTTTACCTCCAGTGTCTACCATCTGGTTCAGGGTTACCACCGCGAATGCTGCTGGAGCTCTGCCTGAGGTGGGAGTTGAAGAACTTGCAGATCAGGCATTCCCAGCGCACCCTCCTTATTCGTTTAGGCATGCCATGTCTCCAATTGGGCAAAGCTGTCAAAGACCCTGCAAGTGTCTGGACGGGTATAAATGCCTGATCTGCGAGTCATATCATATCTAGCAGTAGAGGAACGCTGTCTGATTTGACTCTGCACTGTACCACTGTACATGGTTGAAATGACAATAAAAGTGACTTGAGGAGATGGAGAAAAGCAGCAGAACAGCACAGAGAGGACTGAGAGGCCATGACACAAACCTGGTCTGTAGTGATGGCCACATGAAGCTTTCTGAAGCATTAACGCATCAAAAAAAAGGCTTCATTACTCCAAGCTTTTCAACACAGTCCTCTTTGGGGACATCTGGTGGCCAAAAATATGAAGAGCAGCTTGAATCTACAATTTAAATAAACTGGTTTGTTATTATTGCCCACTCTACAGAGCTCAGTTTATTTAACATCATCTGACAGCTCTGCGTGATATCACGCTGCCATTGTGGTGCTTTGAACAGGTTTTTTGTGGTAGAAATATTGTTACATCCATAATAATAATTTCAATGAATTAACCTTCCTTGTTTAAACATGTGCTATGATGTGTTCTCACTTTGCTTCTGACTTCTTGACATTTGTAAACATAAAAGATGAAAATGCATCATATCTTGTAAAATGCTGCTGCTGTGAGGTCCCGCCTCTATGTGGTATATTTGTATAGCGCTTTACTTAAAACAAAACAAAACACTAAGCCAGTATTTTGGTAACATGTTGAGTTTCCTGTGGACTGTTATCTTTCAAGGTAAGGCTCACAGTGTTCCTCTGATCACTGTATCAAACACTGATTTCCAATTCTGAGAATCACTCATCTATGAATGCAGCCAGTTTCTTCTATGATTTTCCAAACAAAGACAGTTTTACCAACCTCAGATAAGTTCAAGTTCAGATTTATTTATATAGCACTTTTTAAAGACAACAAGTGTTGAAGAAAGTTCTGTAAAATAAAATAGACAAAGCAGAAGACATAAAAGTATTTTAGGAGAGAATAAAATCATTAAAAGAATAATGGTAACAAAGTCATGATGAATCAAAAGCCAGAGAATAAAAATGGGTCTTTAGACTGATTTAAAAAGTATCCAGTGTTGGGGAGGACCTGATATGCAAAGGCAGTGTATTCCACAGTTTGGGGGCAGTCACAGCAAATGCCTGGTCTCCTCTGTGTTTCAGTCTGGACCTAGGGACAACCAAAAGCATTTGGTCTGCAGACCTCAAGGATCTTCCACAAAAAACGAGGATGGATATAAAAAAGATAGTCCTGTCTATTCTTAGTCGGTCAACTGGATTGTAAATAGTTTCTCGATTATTAATGGATTGCACTATCAGGCCAGGAAGCGGTCTACAGATCGTGGTGATTGGACTCTCTGGGATAGCCGTTCTTATATGTATTGAACATACTTTAAGTCATGCGTCGATGTTGTTATACAGACATTGTCCAAAAGAATTTATCTCGTATAATAAAATTACTGAATAAATAGTTGGGAGGATCCTTTTGCATGCCTCTTCGGCCTCCTCTCCTCTTCCTCTTCCTCTTGCTCTCCCTCCATCCATGCTTGCGAAGTTCTTGAAATGGCTACGCTGAGGGCTTTTTGTAGTTGGCTAATTGGTGTTCGGTTTTGCAAGTAAGTGCCTTCAGGTGTGTATTTGCGTGGTTGCAATTACCCCATGTGTTTTGTATTTTGGATACATGTGTTTTCCGAATGGCACCCTGACATTTCATTTTGTGAGCGAAGTGTCTTATGTATGAAATAGAGTGTAGCATGCAGGACCATGTGTGTTGCATAAAGGAGTAGGAGTGTTGCATAATTGGTACTGGGGTGCAAAGCAGCGCTTTTGTTTAAGGTATGGGTACATGTGTTTGAGGTATGGTAACAAAAGCTTCACGTTGTGTTACTTTAGTCTGAGCATGGGTTTATAGTGTTCAAGCAACGGGCAAAAACTGTAAAGTTGTTTAAGGTATGGGTACATGTGTTTGAGGTATGGTAACAAAAGCTTCACGTTGTGTTACTTTAGTCTGAGCATGGGTTTATAGTGTTCAAGCAACGGGCAAAAACTGTAAAGTC